GGAAATGACATGTCTTATCTTAGTCATCCACCTACCTCTATTATATTCCTAGAGCACTCAACGAATGGCCCATATGCATTACCAAGCCTATCGAAATGAGTGTCAAAGTAGATAAATCCTCTAATGAGATAACCCTAGTGACTTCAAGTCAAAGGACAAGTTATAACCATCTCTTATAAGATTCTCATAAACTAAACCAAATGGGTTCTCATGGCAAGCCAAGTCTAGTGATATATTCTCTAGCATTAATTGCCTAAGTGCTTACGTGGGTATCACCATGTCAATTAGTGTGAGATCTCTAACTGCTATCTTATAACTTCAACATAATAGTTATAAGTCTAACTACATATTATCAATGTCTATTCTTGACAATGCTATGACTTGAGATATTTAATTATATCATTTAAGTGTATTTATGTTTGTCTCATATTTTTTGATTAATCGTTAATGCAAATATATATCATATGGACTTCTCTCTAATTTTATTCAATAAAAAAATATAAATGATAAAAATTAATAGAAATAATTCTTTTATTAATAATAAAATAAATAATGCAATGTTACAATAACCGAAATCGTTCAATCAAGGTTAGATCTTGGGCGTCTACACTAAAAATACTAATGAAACACATTTCATTTTAATAAAAATTATAAATATATGTTTTGGTCATTTTATAAAAATATTAACATTTTTAAAAATTTTAATTTCAAAACTTTTTGAGTCTTTGCCCTTGAAAGCCCACTAGCTGCTACACTTTTTTTGTCTATCGCCTAGCACTAGCCAGTAGCTTCTATTAGTCTTGTGCACTCATGCGCACTAGGCCTAGCATGCTCACACATGCCTAGCCTAGCATTGGGCACTAGCCAAAGTTTAGTATTAGCCTTAGTCGGCCTATTGGCTAGTGCCTTGTAATGGCCTTCGTCGCCACAAGCTAGTGCCCAGCACTAGCCTAGCGTCAATTGGCCCGACACACTCGTGCTTGGCTTTCTTGGCATCTAGCATCCGGTGTGCTCGTATGTCTCACCTACCGCCTAGCATGCCATGCCCTTGCACATTCCGAACTTGTGCTTGACATGTGCAAGGCTTGTCTAGGCCTTGCCATAAGCTTGGTGCATGCCTACCATGTCAATCTAGGTTTGAATTATGATTAATTTGAACTAATTTTAAAGTTCATTATATTTTAAATAGAATTAATGATTTTAATTTTATTTATTTTAACTAATTAATTCGGTTAAATTTGATTAATTGGTTGATTGCTAATTTTATTTATATTGAAAATTACTATTTGTTGTTAGTTAAATTTACTTATGTTTGAATTTGAGTTTATTTCATTAGGTTTCAATATATTTAGTCTTATATTAAATTAATTAGGCTAATTTGATTTAGGTGTAATTAATTAATTAGCTTAAATTTCATTAATTTCTTGATTTTTAATTTTATTTGTATTGAAAATGTTTAATTATTTGTTCATTAAATTTAAATAGGTTTGAATTAGCATTAATTTTATTTAGGTTTACATTTAATTAGGCTTGAATTATAATTAATTAGGTTAATTTGATTAATTAGTTTATTTTTAATTTTATTTCTATTGAAAAATGTTAATTAATTGTTAGTTAAATTTAATTAGGTTTTAATTTGACTTAATTTGATTATTTTGTATATAATTATTAAAGTGTGTTGAGATATATTATTGTATAACGAACCTAAGGGGTTAGACCACTGGGAATTGAGGAGAAATAAGATTAGTTCAATGTCTGTATGATGGAGTTTGGAGGTTGAGTTTGAGATTTGATTTTGATGGAGTATCTAAGGTAACTATCGGTCTAGGTAAGCATAAATTGATTGTTGATTGATATAAATTCATTATTTGTATGATCATTTTGAGTATATGTCAATCAAAAAAGGTAAAATTGATTGGGGAGACTATGAAAAAATTTTGTTATGGCTCCTAGATTAGGGAGATTTGGTTGCGGTACCGGTGGTCATGGCTATGATTTCGATAGCATCCATGATTGTAATATTGATATTGGTAGTGTCCGTGATGATGATACCGATAGTGGTGCTTGGACATGGAACAACTAATCCAAGTGTACAAGGCTATTAACTTAATAGTGGCGTTGGTACGTAGACATCCTTGTTATTAGTGCCCTTGCTAGTAATGTCGCCATCGAAGTGCCCTCGAATACGAAGGTCCCTACAATGGTTTTCTCAACTCTAAGAAGTTATACTAAATTTTATACTAGACGGACCATTCGACTCTTGAATAATTGTTAGTAATATGCTTTACATATATTATATTGAAATCATTAATTCATTTAGTCATTATTTATTTATTTTATTCGATAATTTAGTTTGATCAAGTAAGTGCTCCATAAAAATCATCATAATTTTGAAGAAGTGATTGGACGTCCTTGGTTCCACATGGAAGTTCATATCCACGAGAGATGAAAAACTTTGACTTTAATAATTATAGGGTAATACATTAATTATTTTTTCATATTTCATTTAAAGTATTAAATTAACATTAAATGTACTAATATTACTTTTTCTTCATGTAGAATTACTTTTTATGGGATGCGGCTATCGACGCATTGATTAAGGATACGTGGAAGAGTTTGGCATAAAAGGCTATAGCGACATGCTCGAACAAGTTGAAGCATAAGCTCGATAGACCAAAAAATGTTAAACACTAGGTATGGGAAGCATAACATTAGGATTGGGCCACACTTGAGTATTAGGCCCAATTTGAGTAAGTGTTCTAAAATCACATATCGGATATAAGTGGCGGTGATGCTTGCTCATCTAGGCATACAAAGGGTTCTATCTCTTCGATTGAGCATGCTAAATGTTTTCTAAATCTTTTTATCCATTGTGTTCGAAATTAATCTTTGCATTTATTCCATCTCATACAATTTTTTTTAGCATAATAAATTGGGTCGCAACTCATATCTTTACAAGTTGTTTATGACAACTCCCAAGCAAAAAGATGGGTCATTCATCGATAGACAATCCCAGTATAATAATGGTAAGCATTTTATTTTTTGAAATATACATCTATTAATATAATCTAAAAAGTATATTCAAGATTTAACATTATAATTATTTTAAGGGAGTAGGAGCGCATGCAATCAATGCAAGAAGCAGTTGTTAATGAGCAATTGGTGGGTGATTCATTGTCTCCAAACATTGACTTCACCAAAATAAATTTTAAATGTTTTAGGAGGGGAAAAGAAGTAGATAATGTACTGCCTCCAATCACGGGCATCCTAGTTTTACTCCCATTCTAGGATTAACTCCTCCTCTGCCACTTCGCGGTATCTTGGTGGTAATATTAAGCATGTTTCGTATTAAGATAGAATCAAAGGGATGGAGCTTACAATCTTAGAATAGGTCGGTTAATTCAACAATCTATAGAGTTAGATATAGAAAGCGATGGGGATATTACAAGACCTGCAACGGACTTGCATCCCCCTTTTTGATTCCATCATAACCCGAGAGTCAACAGTTCCTCCGAGTGCCCATCATCTAAAAGATAATACATGAGATGATGATGCCGATGATTAGATTTCTTTTTAAAAAAAAAGGTTTTTAATGTTTTCATATATCTTAATGCATTTCAATATTTATTTGATTTCAATTTATATTATTCTAATTTTATTAAATAGTATATCATATCCGAATATAGTGTTATTTTTAGTTTTTTGCTACTATCATTAACATCAAACAAAAGCAACGTATATGGTTGCTAAATTGTTATGGATTTAGTGATAGGTTTGCAAGATATTTTAACGAGTATGATTTAGCGACAACAATTCCATCCCTATTTAGTGACAAAATTAACCAATTAGCAATGGTTTTGAGATAGACAACGAGACATGGAGATGAAAATATAATTTGATTTAACGATAAAAATTCTACACATGAGCGACTAAAAAAAATTATGTCACTAAGAAAGTAGCGATGACCACATGTACTATTGAGATTATGTTGTCCCAAATCCATTGCTATTGTTATATAGCAACGAAAATGGATGATATAGTGATGAAAAAATCAGTCATTATTTTCTTATTTTCTTTTAGTGTTAATGAATAATAATTGCCGAAATAATGATTGTTTTCATCATGTTATAGGCAAGAAATCAATTATAGGATTGTTAAATTCCATAGTTGATCGTTTAAATCAAATAGTTCATTCTTTAAATACCTTTTCTAAAAAGGTAGAGGAACTAACTCTAAAACAAAGTGAATTTTAGGAAAATTTCCTCAAGGACAAATCTACTCTTGGATTTGTTACAAGTTTGCACTATTCAACTTAATATGAAAAAAATTAAAAGAATCTAGATTTACTCTATCCAAGTTAGGCTATTGTTGAATATGAGACTAGGGTTCTCAATCTTGCTAAAATGATTCAAAGTTAGGGTTGCTTTCTTGTTGATTGTCAAGCTAAAGTTCTGGTAAGATTTTTAATTTTGCCAAAATCAACTAAAATTAGACTTATTTTATTCTTGAATATAGTTTTGGCTTTCTAGAATTTTATTATTTACGGATTGATTATTTTTCTTAACAAACCCGGTGTCACTTAAGTAACCAAATAAAGCTAGAATAAAGTTCCTTCACTTATCATTTTGCATTATTGAGTTGGGCAGATCTTCACTGGTTGTTACCTAAAAGTTCTATTCTGTGGAATTGCATTGAAGAATATAGAACTTGTTCTTCATATTTCATATACAGAATATATTCCAGTAATGCAAGTAGCCTATACACCAGTGCTTGTATTGCATCAACAGCCAAACTAAGAATAGTGAGTGTCTGGATAGGCTGGTATACTTTTAGATAAGGAATCAGCCAAAGTGGAGAATCCCATAACTTTTGAATCCTCTGCTAAGGAACCAAGTTACAAGCTGCCTGCTTTCTGCATATATAAGGCTGCTCCTAGGACCTATTTTGTTCCAAGGCAAACTATACAGTGTGTTCTTTGAGTTATAGTATTATTTTCGCTTATGGCACCCCAGGTAGATCGTCTCAGAAGGATTGGAATTGAAGGCTTTGCGCTGGTCGAGGATTGCTACGGCTGGCCAGGAAAGTCTGGAAGACTACTTTTTGGTCAATACTATGGTGCCAAGGTGAAGGAGCCGGTAATTGCAAGCAATGAGGCAGCTCAATATTATGATGGTATGGTGAAAGAGCCTGTTATCAATAGCGATGAGGCAGCTCAATACTATGATGGCTTTGTGATTGTGGACCATTGTAGAAGAAACCATTTCGGTAAGCTTATTAGGCTTCATATAGTATAAGTTTCTAAACAGGCTTCATATAGTATAAGTTACTAAACAAACTTCTTGTTATGTATGAGTAATCAGTCACTTGGTTTTCAGATCTCCAAGTTTCTTACTCATAGGTAAACTATAAATATGCATGCTCCACATGGTCTACTAAAGAACCTAGTAAATTCTATCTTTAGGGCTTCTGTTGTCACGCAGCTGTTTTCTTATCTATGATGTAATCTACTTAATTAAACATTCTCTCTCTCTTTCTCTGCGTGTGTGTTGTGATGATCTTCTTAACTTTTGAGAAGCCAAATCAGAACAAAGGATACCTTGACAAACAGCAGCTAACACAAGGCGAAACAAACAAATGGAAGGACAACACAACCCCATAGGCAAAACTTAAGGAAAGCTAGGAAAGTACAAAGCAATCACTACAACAAAAAAGAGCCATTTTTTAAGGCAGTAAAAAAAAAAACCATTGTTACGGGACCCAAAAAAACTGTCAATAAATCTGTATTTTGGTGGTGAATACAGCGTACAATAAAATATTGAAGACAGCAAATGTTAGAATAAAGGATTTGGGTTGGGTCATCCATAATTGGTTGATCTGACGATAAACTTATTTCCAATAAAAGAGAAAAAGGGATAAATGACAGTTATACAGTTGCAGGGGAAATTATCTTCTTCACCCCCCCCCCCCCCCCCCAATATACCAAACCCCCCAATATACCAAACCAATATATATATATATGTGTGTGTGTGAGAGAGAGAGAGAGAGAGGGAGGGAGAAAGAAAAAAGTAATAAAGTTAATTTTAAAAAAATAAAAAAGACAAAAAACTAAATAAAACGAACCGAGAGGAACTCTCTCTAAAAAAAAAAAAAAAGGGAAGAAGAAGAAGAAGAAGAAGGTTTTCTTCGCATATAAATTGTAGAATTCGGATAATGATTTAATATTACTATTTTAATCTAATGGTGAAACGACTTACAAGAGTTATTTCGATCCTTGATTTATTTCAATCTAATAGTTATTTATTCATGTTTGTGATTTTATTACATTGGTATCAAAGCTGTTTTAGTAGTTTCCATGATCGAATGTTTTTGAATTTTTCGGTGTATTTTTATCGGATAATTTTACAATTATTAGAATGCATGAATTATCCAATGATAATTTTTTTTATCCATGTTTTCGAATTATATATCCATGTCTAGTACAATTCTTAGAATTCATGTCAGTATTGAAATTTATATTATCAGGTATTAGATAATTTTTAATTATGTTAAAAAAAATTATAGTACTGAAATTTATGCGTTATTCGTAAGGAATGCTCTGAATTTTCTAAATATTAATATGAACCCACGCCCTCTAAGGGTAGATGCTTAAACTAGTGCTTAAGACCACTAGCTTAACATGCTATTTTTTTAATAATTCTAGAAGATCTAAAAATATTTAATATGTTTTTTCTAATGAAAAATAATCAAAAATTCATTATAATTAAAATGAAGTGAATTAAATTCTGAAACGCTTTGAAAAATTCATCTATATATATGTGAATACGATGATGGTCCCTAAATAAATATTCTAATATTGTAAGAAATTTATTTCAATTAGTGTTATAGAAGGAGTAAGAGATTCATTAATAATGTATTTGTAATGAAATAAATTGCAAGAAAATTCTCAAAAATATTTTATGCAATGCTTTGTATGGCTAGGGTACATAAATAAATTTTTGACAATTTTAAAATTTATATGTTGGAATACATGTTATTTATGAAGCATTATATTTGCTTATGCATATGATTTTGATTGCTTCATAAATGTTCAACGGACATTGTGAGATAAAATTATATGGTGCAATTTTTGAATTAAGCTATTAAAATTAAAAGTTTGAATATATATATATTTATATTGTGCATATGATGTCTCTTTACGAGTAACTAAATGTCAAAATGGCAACAAAAAACATCATTATCGATTTAAATAAGTGCAAAAAACTTAATGGAGACAACTATAACATATGAAATGTTAAGATACATTATATGTAATATTTGCGACCCAAAATCCTTAATAAATATAAATATATTGTAAAGATATTCTATTTAGTTAATAAAAGTAGATTTATTAAATATATGGAATAAAATTTAAACCTTAATAACGAATAAAGTAAGCACAATTATAATTGAAAGTAAATATAAATGGAATGAGAGAAGCTTTGAATTAGATATTGGGACCGTTAATTGATATTATTATGTTTTAACTTTGGGACACAATTGCAAAACCTAAGGGCATTGTATCTCTCGTAAAATCCTTAATTATAAATCAATATATATAGGCCAAAATATCCAAATATATATATATATATACACAAACACACACACACACACACTAAGTGAAGGAGTAATTGTGTATGCCATTTTGATATTTTGATGCTAATGTGTTTGGGTGCTTGTGTGGGGATTTTTAGTTGAAAGCTTTGGATAATTTTAATTATCATTTATTTTTTCCTAAGTATTTGGAACATATTAAGCAAGTGGGGAATGTGTTTTAAAATTTTGGTAATGCTGAATTTTACAAGAAAATGGCCAAATGGTTTAAGGAGAAAATTTCGAATTTTAGAGGTTTTTGCGAATTAGATTATGTCCGAATTTTGTGAGACCTATTCATAGACCTTAGAGTGATTTTTGAGTAAAATTTAAAGAATAAAAGTTATTGATCTATGTTTTGACTAACTCTCTGTAAAATTTCGTTATTATTAGGTCTATATATAAAACGTTATGCCCGTTTTAGTATAGACTATTCTCGATGTACCACTACTGGAATTTTTTTGGAGAAAGGAATTCTGAATTTAGGGTGAGGAAATTTCAAAAATTGTGACGGGGAGAGATGTTTAGTTACTTGAACTAGGTTAGTTAGGGTGTCTAGCTAGCTTAACCATTTAGTTAAGACACCTAGCACACTTAATTAATGCATTAAGCCAACTCGCTTTTTTTTTCTCTCAAACCCGTCACTTGCCTTTACAACACCTAATTCACTTTTCACCTTGTTAAATTAAAACAAGCCACTTGTAATCTAATTTAATAACAAAGAAAAGTTAGTGTGTGTGTGTATATATATATATATATATATATATATATATATTAAGAAAGTAGGAAGATTGCAAGAAATTTTTAGCAACCCGTAGCCACCAAATTTGGGAGAGAAAATAGTAAGAAAGAGAGAAAGAAAAAGGAAGGGAAAAGAAAAGAAAGAAAGAAAAGCTAAGGAAATCTAACCACATCTAAGCTAAGTAAGTGGGTTTTACTTCATGTTTAAGTTCCTTTTTATGGGTTTAGTTCATGTATTTAGTTAAGCTATTATTTGTATTGTTAAGGTTTAGCTTGTATTGGGTTAGTGCGTGGATGGCTTGGTTTGGATTTAATTGTTATATTGTATTTATGTGATCATTGAAATCTATTATGCCTAGTATATGTTTCATCATGTGTTGATGATTGTGGGTAAAATTTAAGGGCTTGGACCGAATATTGGGATGAATAAATTGGAAGGGAAACAAAGGAATGCTTAGGGTTTTCTTAAAGACCCATTCGGCCTAGGAATCCCAAAGTGAGCACAATTGGATTTTCTCATGAACTTTGAAGCCTACAACCCACTAGTGACCTAATTAAGTGCGAAATAATAAGTGAGAGTGGAAGAGATTTAATAAAAATGAAAGAGAAACCTTAGGCTACTTTTAGAACCATTTGGCCTAACCCAAATAAAATAAAATAAAATAAAAACTAGAATCGAACCTAGATCCATTAACAACTAAATTTAGATTAGAATAAAATTTTACCTTGGTATTCCATAAATCAACCCTTAGAATCAACGGCCACATAAATCAAGTGAAACGGCGAGACTTATCAAAACTAACTAAGAAAACATGCCCACGTGCAAAAGAAAATTGATGGCTTGACTAATATTAGTTAGTGGTGATGGGTCCTCCTTGAGGGAAAACATTGTGAGAGTGATATGAAAATGTATAAAACCCCGTACAGAGTTAGATGATGAGAACGAATTGATAGTGTAGGTTTGGTATTCGCAATATGTTAAACACAGTAATATGGCATCACGTGCATTGGTGGGAATGAATTGAAAAGGAAGTAAATGACCGAGAATTGGTTTGTATGGATAGGTTTGGTGACCTAATTGAAATAAACGAGGAATTAGCGAGTCCGGTTGTGTGTGTACTCTAATCTATGTGACTGCACTTGTTAAGCGATGGATTCTTGCTAACGATTGCCTACAACGAGGAATAATTTCGTTGTTAGCAATGGATGATTCGGTAATCTCCAATAGAGTAGATCGTTAATACCGGGGTACCGGAATAAAAATTGATGAGTAAGATTAGGGAGTTAAAAAAAGCATTATATATCACGTGCATCACCTCACTTAATGAGCTTCGACTCACCCTATCGTTATTTCTATGTTGTGATAGGAAAAGGACAAAATAGTAAGGATGCAGTGACTCCTCCTAAAAGGTTCATGTGTAACACGGGATGATGAAACATGTTTTGTTTGTAATTTAAAGGTATGCGATCCGTAAGAAATCAATCGTTATTTGTAATATTTTGCTACTATAATTAGTTATGTCGGGTAAATTTTATTATACGTAGTTTCATTACGTGATGTGCTTGTTAATTTCTTAAGTACGCCCTACGAGAGATGATTAAGGTTTAGGTCGTGTCGGCATGACGCACCTCACCTAATCACTCCTATTTAGGTAATAGACGAGTGGACCGAGGTGGAGGTGTTATAGAGTGGCATTAGAGCTATGGTTTAGATAACTAGGTAAAATCCCAAGTGTTACATGAGTCCGAGGACTAATGTGTTCGTTCTACGAGATAAAAAAATTAAATTAGTATTTTTTATTTTTTATTCTTTGATTAATATGTATGATTATTATGTGTTTCCATTTTGATGTATAATTATGCTTGAAAATATTGATAAGGGTTAATATTATTGTTGTAGATGTCGTATCTATTCCGTACACCCTACAATGTTAGGACAAGCCAACGAGCATGCCACCCTAGCCACCTACTGGGCGGACCTAAACAACCCGATTATGGCCCCGAGATCGGGACATAGTAGCCCATGTT